CTATTATTGTGGTTTGCTTGTTTCGGACTCAAATATTCAATTCTTCAACTTTTCGAAAAAATAAATCGAGGTATTCCGATTTAGTTTATGTCGAAACTCGTATAAATAATGCATATTAGGTGTTTTGAATTTGTTCCATCTTGTTTTGTATTTTTTTTTGCGTTTAAACTGGTATGTTATTTTTATCCGGACTAAAATATTAGTGTTCTAAAATAATATGTAAAAATTGAGAAATCGTTATTATTTGTTAATAAAAATGTTAATAAATTACTTTTACTGTTTTATATGTATTTTCGTGAATGTTTTGTAATTAAAATGTATTTGTTGATTTTATCTAGTTTAGATTATTTATTTGTTTAAAGACTAGTAATATAGTGCCCTTTTAGCTTAGTAAAATGTAGAGCCTTTTGCGTAGTATCCCTATTTTTTAGTATATCTTATACTGATAGATCAAACACAAACTCTGTCCAATATACAAAAATTAATTATTTAATTTACAAACAAACATATAAAATTATGAAACTAACATGTAAAATGATAAAATTGACACACATAAGAATTCAGGATAACTTGATGCTACTGGGCCTCAAATATCGAGCCTGGAACCCATATATGAATACTTTATCTAATTAAATATTGTATAATTATAAAAAATAATTATTTAATTTACAAAACAAACATACAAAATTATGAAACTAACATGTAAAATAATAAAATTGACACATACAAGAATTCACGATAGCTTGGTGCTATTGGGCCTCAAATATCGAGCCTGAAACCCATATGTTAATACTCTGTCCAATTAAATATTGTATAATTATAAAAATTAATTATTTAATTTACACAACAAACATACAAAATTATAAAACTAACATGTAAAATAATAAAATTGACACATACAAGAATTCAGGATAGCTTTGTGCTACTGGGCCTCAAATATCGAGCCTGGAATCCATAGATATATACTATATCCAATTAAATATTGTATAAGTATCAAAATTAATTATTTAATTTATAAAACAAACATACAATTAATGTTGTTTAATTTACAGTAGACGACATGGACGTGCCTATGCATCCCGGACCTTTTTGCGATGAGCTATTAGTGTTACAGGGCGATCATAGGTCCGCCCACGTATGGGAGGGAGATTTACTGGCCCAGACTCTCCGCGCCAGGAGAGTGGACGACATGTGGGATTTTATGAAGGACAGAGATCTCCATCCCCGTGTAGTCCAGCGTTGCAGCTCGACTAGTCTTTGGTCATGGCCCTGATAGAGCGGTGGCGACTGAAGACGCACACATTCCACCTGCCCATTGGCGAGGCCATCATCACGCTGTAGGACGTGGAGGTTTTATATAGGCTGCTCGTTGCACTGCCTCATGACGCATGGGCAGTATTTGGACATGCTGCAGCAGCTCACTGGTTTCAGGCCACAGGATGATATTGCACACTCAGGGGTCAGTCGCATGAGTTTGACAGCTATTCGACAACATTTGGAGATATTGCACCCCGACATCACTTGCGAGACAAATGATCTACATATTCACCGGTATACGAGGTTGTTGCTGCTTCTTATGTTTGGAGGGGTCTTGTTCTCGAACACTTCGGGGAACCTAGTCAGCTTGAGATTTCTTCATCATCTTCAGCGGCTAGATGATTTACCCCAGTACAGCTGGGGTGATGTTGTTCTCGCCTACTTGTACAGGCAGATGTGCCGGACGAGCATGGGCACCCAACATGATGTATGTGGATTTTTGTCGCTGCTACAGGTGACAACATATTCGAATACTCTATTCATTATAACATATCTAGTAAAAAATTATCATTTAGTTTTACGTCAACTTTGTATGTTAGGTTTGTGCCTGGGAGCAGTTCCTGCAGTTGCAGCCACCTCTACCACCATTACCTCTGGATGTACCACCTCCTTTTCTCCCTCTAGCTAGGAGGTGGGTTCTCCGGCTGGGAGACGTACATATCTACGAGGCTCGGCATAATCTCCCCCTTTGCAGGGATTTGTTGGATATGCTGGAGGGAGCAAAGGTAAATGTATACCTAAGTTTACTTGGTATAGCTTCACATGTGTTGCGCATACTCACGTTTTCTGTTGTCATTTAATAGTTCATTTGGACGCCATACAATGACGACTTGATAGGTGGCCTGCCCGATTATTGGTCGGCCGACCGACTGATTTGGAGCACTTCCGTCCCGCTGATGTGCCTCGATATTGTGGAGCATCATGCCACGGAGCGGGTACTTCGCCAGTTTTGCCGTTCGCAGCTTGTACCGAGAGGGCCCACATGGGAGCCCACACATTATCAGCTGGATGATCGTTCTAGGATGGACGACGCATATATGGCATGGCTAGAGGCGCAGGTCGATACTTGGAACCGGCGAGCTGACCTGATTCAGCCCCCCCTTCACAGAGCCGGGCGGATACTATTCATGAGTATATGCCCCGGTACCGCCGCGTTACCCGACTTTTCGTCGGGAATCCTATTTATCAATCTGGCGGTCGGTACGTTCCATACGCCGGGCAGCACGAGGCCCTGGTATGTTTTCTGGTATTATTACTTATATAACTGTAACATAGTGTTATGTAGTTTATATTTTATACGTTGTGCAGGCTATTGGCCTACATATAGTCTACTAGATGGGATTGCAGATGCAGCAGCATGCCGGCGAGGGAGCGACCGCTTTGCACGATTATGGCCAGTAGGTTGCAGAGGTGGCTGCCCGAAAATTACAGCGAGCCTGAGAGGATCAGCGCTTAGGACACGACCCTGCTTATATGGCGTCGGAGCAGTACCAGTGAGGTAGGGGTGCCCCACGAGGCAGGGCTGCCCCATGGGGTCATGGTGGGCGGCGAGGAGGTGGTCCCCAGCAAGGGGGCGTTGAGGCCCCTGTTGATGATGTTGATGCTGATTTGCCGGGTGACCTTCATGAGCCGGACGAGTATCCCAGCAACATGCCGTCATATAGCCTTGGGTTGCAGCTCACTCTAGGGACTTCGCAGGTGACCCCGTCAGGTCCATTATTGACCACGGGCACGGACATTACCGGAGAGGATTGGGATGCGTACTTCCCAGACCTATCGACCGCTGCTAAGGATCGGCTGACCCAGATGTGAATAGTGGGTGTCGGCTGAGTTATGGCTCATCATCGAGGGGTGCTTGGGAGCTTTCACAGGCGCAAGTATATTTTTATTAGTATTTATTCTAAATTTGTTTTTTCTTTTCTCATTTATTTTCCATAAATAACTTTATTAATTTTCTTATTAAGGCTTCATCCTCGCCCGTCACGGAGGCCGCTTTGTGCGATGCTGACCTGGCTGCGACGGATGATTATATTCAGGAGTCCGATGAGATCGTGGTAAGAAAATTTAAATTGTTGTGACTTAATATATATTTTCCTATACTGAGCTGACTTATTCTTCTGTAGGTTACTACTAGACTGACGGCCCCTTCTATCGATCCTGCCAGCACTACTGATGATCATGTTGCAGCGCATCCTGCTATAAAGAGGCGACATGATGAGGATGATCCTGATAGCGTAGCCGGACGGGATGGGATGCGCCTTAGGCCAGCGGCTGCATTGAAGCACACAGGTTGTGGAACACATTGATTTTTTTTTTTTTTTTTTTTTGTATTTGATGTAAATATTATTTTATGTAAATAATAGCAACAATTTTTATTATTTTCGTTATATGCGCATTATGTATATATTTCTCGGGTTCTTCGTTATTTTAATACTGCAACACAAACACAAACACAACAACTTAACATAATTTAAATTCGGCACACATAATGAAAATACATGACATGGAAAGCATAAAGATAAAATACAACACTCAACACATACATTGGTTTGTTTAGTCAACTATTCTCTTCTTCAACCACTCAAATTGATCCAACAACTTATTTTTTTTCTTCTTCCACCTCTTTTAGTTTCTCCTTCAACGCCGCAATTTCTCGTTTATACATAACCTCATCACGTTCGTATTTTTTGTTCAAATCATGAATATACTGCAAAATTTGTTTGTAGCATTCCTGCTTACAGGGTTCATCAATCCACACATCAAAATTGCAAAAAGGTTCGTCGGGAATCCTATAAAACTTGTTCACACACATCCAGTATCGGCGCCCAACTTCACCATCATCCCAATAGTCCGCCATCATACATTTTTTGCCGCACTGGCACCTTGGTACATAAAAGCGTTCAGACATTTATTAAAGCGAAAAAAGAAACCCTGCTTTTATGGAGAGTTTTGCTATTGGTTATTGTTAAGCGCAGAATATAACTAGAATGCGCCCGTTATTTATAGGAAAGACAACACACATAACATAGTATTTAACTGCGATATGCTAACACATAATATAGTATTTAACCGCGCTGTCTTATCAGCCCAGGCATAACGTTGTTTATAAGGGCGTTATATATTTATAGCGCTCTTTTAAAGAGCGTTATACCTTAACGTCCAAAACGTCCATTAAGGCATAGCTCTCTTTAAAAGAGTGTTATACATAGTTAGGTAACTCTCTTTTTTTTTACACGTATTTCCGTTCTTTTAGTCAAAAAGAACCACAAATGGGTTCTGGACTCCTCATGTATAGTAGTAGTAGTAGTACTGTAGTAGTCAATAACAGTTTCACGCAACGCAAGATATTGTTCAAACATCAAATCAAATCACTTGTTTATATGTTATCTACTCAACTCATAAAGTCTCAGTTTTTCTCATTCTTGTCATTAGCACTTGTCATCACACTTCTTGTTGTGACACAGTAAAAAAGACGTACTGTTCAATATTTTCCTGAACAAAAAATTTAGAAGAATGGGAATGATTGGGGAAGATTATGAGGCATCCAGATGAAGTATACCTATTGATGAAGCTCATGCTAGCTGCAAAACTCATCGAGAAGGGGACACCATTGCAGCCACACTGGGCCTTCTGCAATACTACTCTCCGCAAGGTCTCTCGCAGCTTTGCTCTCCTCATTCAACAGCTGCCTACCGACCTTCGCAACGTGCTAAGTCAAAAGCCTTTTTTCCTTGTTTTAATGTAAAAGAAACTTTACTCAATTACCTTCAAAGTGTCTACAAGTAATAATTTTAAAAATAAGGCAAATTACCTTTCCTTTCCAACATATAAAGATTAAAATATACCTATGATTATACAAGTGTGAAAGTGCAAGAGGGGGGTGAATTATAATTTTTCTTTTCTTTTACGAGGTAGTCGACTAAATTGCTTTCTAATCGACTAGACTTTTGATATGGGATGTAAACTAAATACAGAAAAGTAAATGACACGGGATGTTTCCGAATGAATCCTACATCCACTCGCCTTGGGTTATAAGGGTGTTCTCTTTCAAGTATGAAGTTTCTTGGTACAAGTTAGTTGGTGTTGTTAAACACCAACAACTATGTCACTATATTTGTTCTTTCCTCTCTTCTTGATACAATGCCTCATCAGTGATTTATCTCTCTTTCTTATCTCCCTAGTTACACAGTAAATCTAGAGTAGACTACAATGCTTGTTTGGAGTAGAACAAAGATATTGATATTGGTTCGATCAAAGTATGTCCTTCCTTTATATCTTTTGTTGTATATATAATAACTGGGTTCTATTCTTCACCGTGTGACAGTTCAATGATATCACGGTTTTTATTAAACGGAATAGTTCTGATACCGATAATTTTTTCTTTTGAATCATCACCAAACATAATGTTTTCGCCATTGATGTTGGTAACTTCCTTGAAAGCTTTTTGTTTCCCGTCATGTGACTGGAACACGCACTGGCGAGATACCATTTTCTTTTTCGATGTTTCCTGTGGTGTTCCTGCAAAGAAAGATTATTACCTTCTTTTAGATACCCAAGCTTGCTTGAGTCCTTGTTGTTTAGTTCTACCAGGATCAGGGCTGTTTTTTTATTTCCAAATCCATCGTGAGACATTTGATTTGCGAAATCTACAGAAGGAATAATTGTGTCCAGCCCTATTATAGTAATAACACACATGGGTTCATCTAGTCTTTGATCTACTACTAGTGTTAGTACTTGTGGACTTTGTTCTGACAGGTCCTTTTCCAGTTGATTTGTATGTCACTTGGTTGTACTTGACAGAACTGTGACTGGTGGACTTGCGCATGCCATTAAGTTGTATTTGCAATTTCTGAACCTCATCTTGAAGTACATCTCTTTCGATTTCATATACTTCAAGTTTGAGTTCCCAGTCCTTCTTTTCCCTATTGAGTCTCTTTAATTCATTTAGCATTCTTTTTAGACTCTTTTAGGGTAAGATCAAGAATATCCTGCAATTCGTTACATCTATCATAGTTATAAGGTCTTACCTCACTTGTTTCACCTTGTGCCATGAAGCAATTTTCAGTATCTTCTTTACAGTCGTCGTCTGATGCATCTTCATCAGTCCAGCATCTAGAGTATTAGTTCATATTATTTTCCAAAATCGTCATAAAACATAGATTGGTTATTTCTTCATGTTCTGAACTATCTTCATCGCTCCAACTTTCGAAGGATTTATTTTTGTTGAATTCTCTAAAGATTTGTCTTTTAAGATCTGAGCATTCAGCTTGAACATGGCCATACCTTCCATATTCAAAGCACTTTCCGTTATTTTTGTCTTGCTCATTGTATTGCCTGGTTCGTCTAGATGACATCCTTCCCTTTTTGTGTTTATGTATCTTATCATCAATCCATTCATGTTTCTTGACACCATGCGAATTTCTTCTTCAAGAGATTCTGGATCATCATCAATATCATTTTCAGGACCTTCAGTTGTAGTTTTGAAAGTAGTTGTATTCTTCTTTTCTTCCTGACGCATTATCTAAAATGCTATAAGATCTCCTTGTAATTCATCATATGAAAGTTTGTCTAGATTTTGAGATTCGAGTGCAACTACTTTTATCTACCATGTGGTAAGCAAACTTCTCAGGATTTTTCGAGCTTGATCACCACTTGAGTAAGGTTTACAAAAGGCTTTCAGATCGCCAATGATTTTGCTGAATCTTGCAAACATCTCCTCAATGGATTCTCCTTCTTTCATCTAGAAGAGTTCATAATCGTGAACCAATAGGTTTATCCGAGTTTCTTTCACTTTGCTAGTTCCTTCATAGGTAACTTCCAGTTTGTTCCACATTTCCTTGGTGGTATCACAGCTTGAAATTTTCTCATACTCTTCTCCACTTATAGCATTATAAAGCAAGTTTCATTCCTTAGCATTAACTTGAACGACAGTTATTTGATCGTCTGTGTATTTATCTATATCTTCAAGATCAGCGGGTGGTTGAGCTGCTGTTGGTAGTGGATAAATTTCCTTTTTCATAACACGCCATACTTTGACACCATAGGACTTTGCATAAATTTCTATGCGCACTTTCCAGTGAGAGAAGTATTGTCCATTGAAATGTGGTGGCCTTACTTGCGATGCCTCTTCTTGAAAGAGTTCTCTAATAGTTACTTGGCTTGACATGATCTTTTATCACTAGCTGTTAAGCAAAAGATAAAAGTGTAAGACCGGCTCTGATACCAATTGAAAGTGTAAGGAGGGGGGTGGATTGTAATTTTTCTTTTTTTTTACGAGGTATTCGACTAAATTGCTTTCTAGTCGACTAGACTTTTGATATGAGATGTAAACTAAATACAGAAAAGTAAATTACAGAAAGTAAATGACACATGATGTTTTATACTGGTTCAGATTCAGAATGAATCCTATGTCCAGTCCCCTTTGGTTGCAAGGGTGTTCTCTTTCAAGTATGAAGTTTCTTGGTCAGGTTGGTTGGTGTTGTTATACACCAACAACTTCGTCACTAGATTTGTTCTTTCCTCTCTTCTTGATACAATACCTCACTAGTGATTGTTCTCTCTTTCTTCTCTCCCTAGTTACACATTAAATCTAGAGTATACTACAATGCGTGTTTGGAGTAGAACAAAGAGATTGATATTGGTTCAATCAAAGTATGTCCTTCCTTTGCATCTTTTGTTGTATATATAAGAATTGGGCTCCATTCTTCATGGCGTGACAGTTCCATAGATGGAGGAGGGCAACCCAAGGGAGTTGATCCTCAGAATCAATCAAGATGATCTATTCCAAGAATAGAATGGAACTTCCTTTACTGAACCGTTGCTTCCGTGATTTTCTTTTCTTCGCAAGCCGTTGTGATTGAATATTCTCTGTGATGCGTGATTGAATATTCTCTATAGATCTTCTACATTGATTGATTGATGCCTTCCATAAATAGATGAATCGAATATTTGTGTTCCATGAATCTCGCAATCACAACACATTTGCTCCTTGATTCTTGCTTCTGGATCTTGACTTGCACGTTTGACTCCTTGATTTTATCTTTCAGATCTTTTACTAGAATCTTTTCAATTCTTGTGGCTTCCTTCTTTGGGATTGATTTCATGCAATTAGAATTAAGTTATTTTCTATCATTAAAATATATATCTAACAATCTCCCCCTTTATTATGATGACAAAAAAACTTAATTCATTTCACTTCCCTGTTTATACACTCCACTTGCTTTTAGAGATTTTTGTGGCTTTAGTCGGCTCCCCCTCAACTTGTTGTCAGGTACTTTGAGTCGACTCCTCCTTATTCAGTTGCCCAGTAGTTGACTTTTGTTGAGTTAGTCCACTAAACCTTACCTATAAGTTAGTCCACTAAACCTTACCTATAAGTTAGTAGTACTCTATTCTCCCCCTTTGGCATCAATCAAAAATAGGGCTAAGCAAGTCTAACTACTAGCAGATAAGATTAGCAGATAGTAAGCTTAATTACAGTCATCCATAGAGTACCAAAAAAACATGCAAGATATCCAGATAAACCAAAAGAAATTGTCTAAGCAACCAACACAGATCATCGACGAAGGAAATAGGTAAGGGTGTTGCAGATAGCTTCTTTGAGGCGATCAAAGCTTGTGTTCATTGTGACTGAGATTCCATCAACACAATCATGAACTTCCTTGAAAGCTTTCACTGCCTTTTATGCGGTTTTCAGAACCATGACTCTTAGCTTGGACACGTTAGATCATATTTCCTTTGCAACTACGTAGGTATATCCAACTAAGGTCTGGGTGGCGAGGAGTAGCTCTTTGATGGTAGTCAGTTTGTCATCAAGTGCATCTATCTTTTCAAGCAACTCCGGATTGTTGACAACAGCCTGAGAAGTATCAACTTTTACCTTGGAACTGGAGAGAATCACTTTGGCTTCAATTTCCTGCGTCTTTATCCAAGTACCATCCACAACAACATATCCCATGCTAATAAACGCCCTATTGTTATAACACTTGGAAACAGATATATAGGGATAGTTTGAGAGAAGGATATTGAAGGCCTCGATGAGGTGAGTGATGACCATCCCGTAAGGTAGACTCGAAGGATCTCCGGCACATTCAATCATGAAATTGATTACCCAGGAGAACAGTTTCACCTTGTGCTTGGTGAGAAGACAGTAGACCAAAAAAGTGTCCCTTTGAAATAATGTGGTGTAAGAACCTGTTTTGGGAAGAATGATGGTGGCAACAATGTGGGCAAGAATACCGATTTCAAAATTGATGTCACTAGGTCCTAATTGACTTGGCAGTGAATCAGACAGGGAGTCAGCAAGGCATTGTTTGGCTTGTTCAAACAACACTTCAAAATCATCAGGCCAGGAGTTTTAAATAGAGCAGAGTAACCAGAACTTTTACACTTAAGCAAAGAATCAAAAGTAGAACAGTCTAGAATGATACGTTGACCTAGCATGAGTGATTCAATTTTATCATATTTCTGGGAACGAAGATTTACATAGAACATACGAACTAGATCTTCATAGACTTTTGGAGGGATTAGGTCAAAGAAATTTTTCCATCCTTGAAAAGTTAAAAAATCTTTTACCTTGCAGTTTAGGATTTCCATCTCTTCCAGGTTGATGATTCTTCCATGAGCAATTGATTTTTCTTTGAAGGTGACGAACTTGTCTTTGTTGGGTGAATCCCAATAGTTCAATTCTGACTCCACCGCACTGTTCAAGTCTATCTTCACTTTCTTTGGGATGAACGCTTCTACTTCTTCTTCCATGGAGCGCTTTCCTAGGGCCTTTTCTATTCGAGCATCATCAGAGAGGTTTTCTTGAGAAGATAAGAAACCCTTAGAGTGGTCAGAGCCAATAGTAGCTGGTTTTGACGGTTGAGAAGGAGGTTTCCCTTTAGACCGAATGTTTTTGCGAGTGAAAGCAGAGGTTTTTTTAAGCTTTAGCCATTAGAGAGTTTGAATGGAGATTGCACAGAGAAGACTCAAAGAAGAGGTGGACTTATAGATATGGAGGGAGGAGTGAAGAGACATGACTGAACCGACGTGACTGATAGGTCAGAGAAAGGCAAGATGCACGGCTGATTGATTCAGTTTTCATCTTGATAAACCAAAAGGTGGAAAAAAGTGCTAAAAATGGAGGCGCTTAATTAATGCTACAGGCAGTAATAATGAAATACACGGTACAAAAGATTTTTTACCAAAATTACTAAAACACGCAATCTTTGAAAAGTACCAAAATTCCAATACCTTATTTTAAAAAAGTAACAATGCCAAGTAAATCCCTAAGATTTTGAAATATGTCCACTAGAAGTGGCTTAGTAAAAATATCAGCTAATTAATTTTCAGTACTAACAAATGATAATTCAATGTCACCCTTAAAAACATGATCTCTAATTAAATGATGCTTGATATCTATATGTTTTTCCCTAGAATGATGCACTAGATTTTTTGATAGACAGATGGCACAAGAATTATCACAAAAACTTTTAACATGCTTAAAAGAAATATCATAGTCACTTAGTTGATGAGTCATCCAAAGTAGTTGAGCACAACATTGTCCGATGGAAATGTATTCAGCTTCAGTTGTAGATAATGCAACTGATCCATGTTTTTTACTTTTCCAGAAAATAAGTGATTTTCCAAGTAGTTGACAAGTTCCACTTGTGCTTTTCCTATCATCTTTATCTCCTGCAAGATCTGCGTCTGAAAAACCTTCAAGCTTAAAATTGTTAAGACATGGATACCATAATCCATGTGATGTAGTTCCAATAATATATCTAATAATTCATTTCACAGCTGATAAATGTGACTCCTTGGGAGCAGCTTGGAACCTGGCACATCTGCACACACTAAACATTATGTCAGGGAAACTGGCAGTTAAATACAGTAGAGATCCAATCATTCCACGGTATTTTGAGTCATCCACTGGTTTTCCTTCCTCATCTTTGTCAAACGATGTAGCTGGACTTATGGGAGTTACAAGTGCCTTTACATTGCTCATTCCGAATTTTTGTATCAGCTCCTTCGTGTACGTTGTGTGATATATAAAGATCCCTTCATCTGATTGATGAATTTGAAGCCCAAGGAAGAAAGTCAATTCTCCCATCATGCTCATTTCAAACTCATTTTGCATGAGATGTGAGAATTACTTACATAGAACAGGGTTAGCACTTCCCAATATAATATCATCAACATAAATTTGAATAATGAGATTTCCAAATGGCAGTTCCAAAAAAATGCACTTCGACATCAAAAAAGACCCATAACATCTATGTCAACTTTTGGTCTGAATACAGATAAAATGAATAGCTTTGTAGATGATCCTTCTAGAAGAGGGGGTATTCTGCCTAAATAGTAGACACAAATAATTTTTTTTGGGGGGNTACGGCTACCTTGTTACGACTGGAGTACCTTTTGATGAAGAGGGTAGTATCAATCTTACCTTTTGAGAATCCATGACTGACCAAAAATGAGCTTAGTCTTTCATACCAAGCTTGAGGTGCTTGTTTTATCCCATAGAGTGCCTTAGTCAACTTAAACACATGATAAAGGAAATGTGAGTTTTTAAATCCAAGAGGCTATTTAACATAGACCTCATCATCAATGAAGCTATTTAAAAATGCTCTTTTAACATCCATTTGAAATAATTTAAAACCTTTAAAAGAAACATATGCTATTAAAATACGAATTGATTCTAACTGTGCTACCGTTGCAAAGGTTTCATCATATTCGACTGCTTCTTGTTCAGAGTAGCCTGAGGGACTAGCCTAGATTTGTTCCGGATAACTTTACCTTCTCCATTCAGTTTGTTTCTAAATACCCAATTTGTTCCTATGATTGCTGCGTTTGCTGGCTTGGGCACCAATGTCCAAACTTGATTTTTGTCAAACTGATCAAGTTCTTCTTGCATAGCTTGTATCCAACTTGAGTCTTTCACAGCTTCATCAACTTTATTTTGGCTATATTTGGGATATGAGTGCAATGTTAGCCTTTTTCTTTAGAGCTCCTCTTGTTTCCATTCCATCAGTTGGATTTCCAATTATAAACTTTTGAAGATATTCAGGTTTGCTTCTCCATTCGTTTGGTACTACTTCAGTACGTTAAATAGTTGACTCATTCTTAGGTTGATCATGCTCACTGATGTCTTCATTAGTCGACTGTAGGATTTCATTTGCATTGTCAGCAAATTCTTTTGAAATCATTTGTTCACTAATCTTTCATTGATTTTGACTGATCTCTTCATCACCTGCAAGATCTCCTTTCTCGGACATAGAGTTATTATCATCAAAAATAACATGAACTGATTCTTCTACACATAAAGTATGCTTATTATAGATTCTAAAAGATCTACTATTATTAGAGTAACTGAGAAACATACCTTCATCACTTCTTGGGTCAAACTTACCAAGATTATCCTTACTATTATTGTAGACAAAGAATTTGCTTCCAAAAGGATGAAAGTATCCAATATTGGATCTATTACTAGTTCATATGGAGTCTTCTTTAAAATAGGTCGAATTAAGCACCTATTGAGAATGTGACATGCTATGCTTACTGCTTCTGCCCAGAAGTGATTTGGTAGGAAATGCTCTAGTATCATAGTTCTTGCCATATCCTACATAGTTCTATTTTTAAACCACTCCATTATGCTGTGGTGACCTTTGGTGCTGAAAAGTTACGAGTGTATCCTTGATCATTGCAGAATTACTCAAATGCTCTGCTTTCAAATTCTCCTCCATGATCACTCTGAATAGTTGAGATAGGGCACCCCTTTTCTCTTTCTATCTTTTTGCAAAAAATCTCAAAGTTCTTTAGAGCCTCATCCTTGTGAGCCAGAAATATTATCCATATAAAACGTGAGTAGTCATCCATAATAACAAAAGCATACCTTTTTCCTCTTATACTAGCAGTTCTAGTAGGTCCCAACAAGTCCATATGTAGTAGTTGAAGAGGCTTGCTAGTGGAAATTATATCCTTAAGTTTGAAAGAGTTTCTAGTTTGATTACCAAGCTGACATGCAACACATACATGATTTTTAGAGTAGTTTAGCTTAGGAAGACCAATGACCAAATCATATTTGGAGAGTTTTTCAATCAAATGCATACTGGCATGACTAAGCTTTTTGCGCCAAATCTAGGGATCATCATTGATGGATGCAAAACAGATATGACTTTCCATATTATCAATGCAATCTAAAACGTAGACATTTCCAAACCTCTTTCCTAGAAGAGTGATTTTACCGTATTCATCTTTAAATAGCACAGCCATCTCTTTTGAATTTCACTTCATATCCAGAATCACATAGTTGGTTGATGCTTAGCAGATTGTAATTTAGTCCGTCAACAAGATAAACTTCAATGATATCACAGTTTTTATTAAACGGAACAGTTCTGATACCAATAATTTTGCCTTTTGAATCATCACCAAACATAATATTTTCTCCATTGATGTTGGTAACTTCCTTGAAAAGATTTTTGTTGCCTGTCATGTGACTGGAACACGCACTGGCGAGATACCATTTTCTTTTTCGATGTTTCCTGTGGTGTTCCTACAAAGAAAGATTATTACTTTCTTTTGGTACCCAAGCTTGCTTGAGTCCTCGTTGTTTAGTTCTACCGGGATCAGGGTTGTTTTTTGGTTTTCAAATCCATCTTGAGACATTTGATTTGCGAAATCTACAAAAGGAATAAATGTGTCCAGTCCTATTATAGTAATGATATACATAGGTTGATCTAGTCTTTGATCTACCACTGGTATTAGTACTTGTGGACTTTGTTCTGACAGGTCCTTTTCTAGTTGATTTATATGTCCCTTGGTTGGACTTGACAGAACTGTGACTGGTGGACTTTCGCATGCCATTAAGTTGCATTTGCAATTTCTGAACCTCATCTTGAAGTACATCTCTTTCGATTTCATACACTTCAAGTTTGAATTCCCAGTCATTTTTTTCCCTATTGAGTCTCTTTAATTTATTTATCATTTGTTTGAGACTCTTTTAGGGTACGATCAAGAATATCCTGCAATTCGTTACATCTATCACAGTTATAAGGTCTTACCTCACTTGTTTCACCATGTGTCATGAAGCAATTTTCAGTATCTTCTTTACAGTCGTCATCTGATGCATCTTCATCAGTCCAGCATCCAGATTATTTGTTCATATCATTTTCCAAAATCGTCATAAAACATAGATTTGCTATTTCTTCATGTTCTGAACTATCTTCATTGCTCCAGCTTTCGAAGGATTTGTTTTTGTTAAATCCTCTAGAGATTTTTCTTTTAAGATCCGGGCATTCAGCTTGAAGATGGCCATACCTTCCGCATTCAAAGCAATTTCTGTTATTTTTGTCTTGCTCATTGTATTTCCTGGTTCGTCTAGATGACATCCTTCCCTTTTTTGTCTTTCTGTATCTTCTCATCAATCCATTCATGTTTCTTGACACCATGGGAATTTCTTCTTCAAGAGCTTCTGGATCATCATCAAAATCATTTTCAGGACCTTCAGTTGTAGTTTTGAAAGCAGTTGTATTCTTCTTTTCTTCCTGACGCGTTTTCTCAAATGCTATAAGATCTCCTTGTACATCATATGAAAGTTTGTCTAGATCTTGAGATTCGAGTGTAACTACTTTTGTATGCCATGTGGTAAGCAAACTTCTCAGGATTTTTCGAACTTGATCACCACTTGAGTAAGGTTTACAAAAGGATTTCAGATCGCAAATGATTTTGCTGAATCTTGCAAATATCTCCTCAATGGATTCTCCTTCTTTCATCTAGAAGAGTTCATAATCGTGAACCAACAGGTTTATCCGAGTTTCTTTCACTTTGCTAGTTCCTTCATAGGTAACTTCCAGTTTGTTCCACATTTCCTTGGCGGTATCACAGCTTGAAATTTTTTCATACTCTTCTCCACTTATAGCATTATAAAGCAAGTTTCGTTCCTTAGCATTAACTTGAACGACAGTTATTTGACCGACTATGTATTTATCTATATCTTCAGGATCAGCGGGTGGTTGAGCTACTGTTGGTAGTGGATAATTTTTCTTTTTCATAACACGCCATACTTTGACATCATAGGACTTTGCATAAATTGTCATACTCACTTTCCAGTGAGAGAAGTGTTGTCCATTGAAATATGGTGGCCTTACTTGCGAGACCCCTTCTTGAAAGAGTGCTGTAATAGTTACTTGGATTGACATGATCTTTTCTCACTAGCTGTTAAGCAAAAGATAAAAATATAAGACCGGCTCTGATACAAATTAAAAGTCCAAGGGGGTGAATTGTAATTTTTCTTTTTTTACGAGGTATTCGACTAAATTGCTTTCTAGTCAACAAGACTTTTGATATGAGATGTAAACTAAATACAGAAAAGTAAACTACAGAAAGTAAATGGCACATGATATTTTATACTGGTTCGGATTCAGAATGAATCCTACGTCCAGTCCCCTTGGGTTGCAAGGGTGTTCTCTTTCAAGTATGAAGTTTCTTGGTCAGGTTAGTTGGTGTTGTTATATACCAATAATTTCGTCACTAGATTTGTTCTTTCCTCTCTTCTTGATAAAATACCTCACCAGTGATTTTTCTCTCTTTCTTCTCTCCCTAGTTACACAGTAAATCTAGAGTATACTACAATGCTTGTTTGGAGTAGAGCAAAGAAATTGATATTGGTTCAATCAAAGTATGTCCTTCATTTGCATCTTTTGTTGTATATATAAGAATTGGGTTCTATTCTTCACCGCGTGACAGTTCAATGATAACACGATTTTATTAAACGAAACAGTTTCGTACCGATAATTTTTCCTTTTGAATCATTACCAAACATAATGTTTTCTCCATTGATGTTGGTAACTTCCTTGAAAAGATGTTTTAGCCCGTCATGTGAATGGAACACGCACTGGCGAGATACCATTTTCTTTTTCGATGTTTCCTGTGGTGTTCCTGCAAAGAAAGATTATTACCTTCTTTTAGGTACCCAAGCTTTCTTGAGTCCTTGTTGTTTAGTTCTACCAGGATCAGGGATGTGTTTTGGTTTCCAAATCCATCCTGAGACATTTGATTTGCGAAATCTACAAAAGGAATAATTGTGTCCAGCCCTATTATAGTATTAACACACATGGGTTGATCTAGTCTTTGATCTACCACTAGTGTTAGTACTTGTGGACTTTATTCTGACAGGTCCTTTTTCAGTTGATTTGTATGTCGCTTGGTTGGACTTGCGCATGCCATTAAGTTGCATTTGCAATTTCTGAACCTCATCTTGAAGTACATCTATTTCGATTTCATATACTTCAAGTTTGAGTTCCCAGTCCTTATTTTCCCTATTGAGTCTCTTTAATTCATTTAGCATTTTTTTGAGACTCTTTTAGGGTAAGATCAAGAATATCTTGCAATTCGTTACATCTATCACAGTTATAAGGTCTTACCTCACTTGTTTCACCTTGTGCCATGAAGAAATTTTCAGTATCTTCTTTACAGTCATCATCCGATGCATCTTCATCAGTCCAGCATCCAGAGTATTTGTTCATATCATTTTCCAAAATCGTCATAAAACATAAATTTGCTATTTCTTCATGTTCTGAACTATCTTCATCGCTCCAGCTTTCGAAAGATTTGTTTTTGTTAAATCCTCTAGAGATTTTTCTTTTAAGATCCGGGCATTCAGCTTGAAGATGGCCATACTTTCCACATTCAAAGCACTTTCCGTTATTTTTGTCTTGCTCATTGTATTGCCTGGTTCGTCTAGATGACATCCTTCCCTTTTTTGTATTTCTGTATCTTCTCATCAATCCATTCATGTTTCTTGACACCATGGGAATTTCTTCTTCAAGAGCTTCTGGATCATCATCAAAATCATTTTTAGGACCTTCAGTTGTAGTTTTGAAAGCAGTTGTATTCTTCTTTTCTTCCTGACGCGTTTTCTCAAATGCTATAAGATCTCCTTGTACATCATATGAAAGTTTGTCTAGATCTTGAGATTCGAGTGCAACTACTTTTGTCTGCCATGTGTTGAGCAAACTTCTTAGGACTTTTCGAACTTGATCACCACTTGAGTAAGGTTTACAAAAGGCTTTCAGATCGCCAATGATTTTGCTGAATCTTGCAAATATCTCCTCAATGGATTCTCCTTCTTTCATCTAGAAGAGTTCACAATCGTGAACCAACAGGTTTATCTGAGTTTCTTTTACTTTGCTAGTTCCTTCATAGGTAACTTCCAGTTTGTTCCACATTTCCTTGGCGGTATCACAGCTTGAAATTTTTTCATACTCTTCTCCACTTATAGCATTATAAAGCAAGTTTCGTTCCTTAGCATTAACTTGAACGACAGTCATTTGATCGTCTGTGTATTTATCTATATCTTTAGGATCAGCGGGTGGTTGAGCTGTTGTTGGCAGTGGATAATTTTCCTTTTTCATAATACGCCATACTTTGACATCATAGGACTTTGCATAAATTTTCATGCGCACTTTCCAGTGAGAGAAGTGTTGTCCATTGAAATATGGTGGCCTTAGTTGCGATGCCCCTTCTTGAAAGAGTGCTCTAATAGTTACTTGGCTTGACATGATCTTTTTTCACTAGCTGTTAAGCAAAAGATAAAAGTGTAAGACCGGCTCTGATACCAATTGAAAGTGCAGGGGGGGTGAATTGTAATTTTTTTTTTTTTACGAGGTATTCGACTAAATTGCTTTCTAGTCGACTAGACTTTTGATATGAGATGTAAACTAAATACAGAAAAGTAAACTACAGAAAGTAAATGACACATGATATTTTATACTAGTTCGGATTCAGAATGAATCCTATGTCCAGTCCCCTTGGGTTGCAAGGGCGTTCTCTTTCAAGTATGAAGTTTCTTGGTCATGTTGGTTGGTGTTGTTATGCACTAACAACTTCGCCACTAGATTTGTTCTTTCCTCTCTTCTTGATACAATACCTCACCAGTGATTGTTCTCTCTTTCTTCTCTCCCTAGTTACATAGTAAATCTAGAGTATACTATAATGCTTGTTTGGAGTAGAACAAAGAGATTGATATTGGTTCGATCAAAGTATGTCCTTCCTTTGCATCTTTTGTTGTATATATAAGAATTGGGCTCCATTCTTTATGGAGTGACAGTTCCATAGCTGGAGAAGGAAAACCCAAGGGAGTTGATCCTCAGAATCAATCAAGATGATCTTCTTCCAAGAATAGAATAGAACTTCCTTTACTGAACCGTTGCTTCCGTGATTTTCTTTTCTCCGCAAGCCGTTGTGATTGAATATTCTCTGTAGATCTTCTATATTGATTGATTGATGCCTTCCGTAAATAGCTGAATCAAATATATGTTTTCCATGAAGCTCGCAATCACAACATATTAGCTCCTTGTTTCTTGCTTCTGTATCTTGACTTGCATGTTTGACTCCTTGATTTTTTTTCTTTCACATCTTTTACTAGAATCTTTCCAAGTCTTGTGACTTCCTTCTTTGGGATTGATTTCCTGCAATTAGAATTAAGTTATTTTCTATCATTAAAATATATANACAAAATTTGGCAACCTAATACCTTTCTTCTATGCATGGATTTTGTTTTGCCATCGATTTCATTTGGATGGTCACTCAACTATTATTTCATTTCATTAGAGTTATTAAACTATTTTTTGGATGGCCTATGCTTCTTTTCATCTACTCTCTAGCCGAGGGTCTATCGTTAACAGTCTCTCTACCCTCCTAAGGTAGGAGTAAGGTTTGTGTATACATTACCCTCCCCAGACCTTACTTATAGAAACTCACTGGGTTTATTGTTGTTGTAATGTTATTAAATTATTTTTTGCAACGAAAATGTTAGTCAACTTTATTTAAGTATCACAAAAGTCACTAATTATCTTTCGTAAACAAAAAGTGTGTCAACTTTCATGATTAAGGAGTAAAGGTGAGTTACTTTTTATTATAAAAATAGATCTATACGTCAGTGAAGCTAGGTTACCAACTACATCATATCCCTTTGGTGCGGCCTTCCGCGGACCTTACGTAAAAGCAGGATTACTTTTTTTTAGTATAAATGTTTTTCGTACAATAAAGTAAAAGTCAATGATCATACATAAATTACCCCTGTTGCCTTGTGAAGGTTGAGTTTTATAAACTTCCGTCCAACTCTGCAGGTTTGTGTTTACTATTTGGTTCTACGAGCACTTGACACTGTTGGTATGTTCAATTCCATAATCTCTCATCAGTTTAATTTCATGATATACAGTAGGAATTCTAATCAATTTAAGCATTATTCTATTGGTTGATTTCTGTAAGCATTGGAATATTGCTTCACTAATTTTGTTTTTTCCTTCTAATGGACAGAGGATGATACCAGCTTAGCTACTGAGGTTAGAGTACCTATCCTGAGAAATGTTTACTGCCACTTCTATGATCGTGAATGGCATTTTTCATGTGAGTGCTAATTGCATCTCAACTTTGTTATTCTTGCTTTTGTAATTAAAGAGGCTCCATAGGACAAGCTTTGACAAACATGCGTATTTGGTTCTTGGTTTTCTTCTTCATAAAATCTTTTACACTATTAATTATAAGGTTTCCAATTAATGCTTATCAAAAAAGTAATTTATTATTACTTTGCAAGCGACCTGATCGCTTAAATACTTTTTACACCGTCAAGCAGGGGCGGAGCTAGAGTGTCGGTTGCGGATTCAGTCGAACCCAGTAGTTTTGGTTCAAACCTTGTATTTATCTTATAAAATTCATTTGATATGTTAATTTAGAACTATTTACTTAAAATGATTAGAATGCCGAGCTTATAAGCTTCAAATCCTAGTTTTGACTCTACCGTCAAGTGCACAGAGCGTAAATTCAATGCACAATAGTATCAGTTGTTTTCCAAAAAGAAATAATTAGCATTGTACTTTTATTTTAGAGGAAATGATCTCACCTTAGTTTCATTTCGAGATATAGTTTTTTCCCCCCTTCATTATTCTTTCCTACTTCTCTTCTATAGTAATTGAGTCATTTCTTTTCTTATTTTATGATATTTATGTGAAGTTTTCTGGATTAGTTGCCTTATACCTGTTGTTATTCATTAGGTGGTACAAAGGCCTTCAAGGTTCTCATGGACCAATTCCATGATGTTTCCACTGCTTTCCTGGAGCTTGATAAAAAGTTAGTTCTTGCAAAAGATTTTTGCTTTTCTGCTATTAATTAATGTATTGTTGTATATTAAGAATTGATTGCAAAATATTCCAGAATCATAGTTTGAAGTCAAAATCAGAACAATAGTTTTATGTGAATGAACGTTCTACGTATTTTGCAGTTATCAGGAGGTGATTAAGGATATTACCAAGAGGATGGGTGAAGGGATGGCAAAATTTCTATGCAAGGAGGTGATTCAGGATATATATTAACTTGAACATGTCTAATGTGCATTATGAACTTTAATAGAATGGACGGGACGGGTTAAATTATACTCATCTTTATTTTGCTATTCCTCTTTCCCTTCTTCAATTCCCTCTCCATGATTCAAAAGCCTAAGAAAGTTTGGGTCTCACCAATCCATTTGTCTTCTCAGTACTGTACCAGAAAATTTAACTTTGACATCTGCAGCTTTACTAAAGTTTCTGTCAATGAATTTATTATTAGTATTTCTGCAAGTAATAATTTATATACCTGCATATATATCGTCTACATATTTTGAGGAACAATATAAGAAAACCATGAATTGCACGTTTTGTCATTTTGGAGTAATCTTCTATGTATCTGGAGAAAAAAGAAACAGCACTAAACAGTATCGACAGATGAGAAATACTTGATCTTTTGATTGATAATTTCAATGGCTAGTCATCATTCTAATCTAGATTTTCTAAAGCATATATGACTTACGAAAGCGCCACTTTTATAATATCTAAGCATACTTCACTGCAGGTCCCTCAACCCTTGTGCAGGTAGAAACACTCGATGATTATAATGAATATTGTCATTATGCAGCTGGACTTTGTGGATTAGGCTTGTCAAATCTTTTTTATGCTTCTGGAAGAGAAGATTTAGCACCAGAATCCCTCTCCATTTCTATGGGTTTATTTCTTCAGGTAATGCATGTTTAGCAGTCCTCAAAAAACTGTCTAGTGACATAAATGATAAAACCATATTTGGAAATATATTTCAGAAAATAAGCATTATTAGAGATTATCTAGAGGACATAAATGAAGTACCCAAGTGTCGTATTTTCTGGCCCTGTCAAATTTGGAGTAAATATGTTAACAAACTTGAGGTTAGTTTTCTTTGAAATGAGGTTATAGATGTTTTATCATCTAGAATTCATTTTATTTCATCATAACAGTAATAGTCCTTGTTTGAAGTTCATATTTTGGTTCATTGCTCTGAATCTTCTTTATGTGCCTCAGGACTTTAAGTATGAGGAAAACTCAGTCAAGGCAGTACAATGTCTGAATGAAATGGTCACTAATGCTTTATTACATGCAGAGGATTGTCTGACTTACATGTCTAATTTACGAGATCCTGCTATCTTTCACTTCTGTGCAATTCCCCAGGTATAAACTTTCCTTGAACAGTTCAAAATTTTTGTTTTTGCCCGTTATCCTAATATTTTGTACAGCATATTGGTGAGTGTCTGAGAATGGAACGCGTTCTGGAAAGTGTAAACAAACTCACTTTAAGCTTACACTTTAGTAAATCATTCAGTTGTCTTGTTACATATGCATCCCATATATGGTGTATTACAATAATTTTCATACTTCCAGAAATATAATACTCCATTACTTTTGTTCATATTAAGTAATCCTTCTTGAAGCATTCATTGCCTTTACGGTGCTTTCTTATACTACCAGATCATAAATATGGAGAACTTGGCGATGTACTACAACAACATTGAAGTTTTCAAAGGCGTTGTAGAAATGAGACAGAGGTAAAGATACACGGCTTCTCAATATGCATGTCTATAATTTCAATTGGACAAGGAAATATACATGATTCTCAATATGCATGTCAAACTTGAATCAGAGGTTTGTTATGTTTCCTTGTTATTCTTCTCTGGAAATTTTTGTAAGTATCAGTTGATGACTTTATCTACCACCAGGAAATCTTACATATTCAGCTGTCAGCCTAATTGTTATATTCAACTTCTGGTGAGTTTTTATGCTGATATATAGTTCATACATTTCATTAGCTTTTCTGCAATAAATTTCGATTATTTTCCTTGTCATCATACTGGCTATTCCTTATATATCAACAAAAATACCTTAAGAGACCATAGGTAAGCATTCAGATGACTCTACTCTTATTTGAGTAAAATGCGAAGAATGTGAAAATGTAAGAAAGAGAATCTTGATTACATTAGTAAAAATAAAATAAAAAACTGTTGGACTCACATTTGTCACATATATATATATATATATATCAAAATCATATTTCGACAGAATTTTTTGTTGCTAAATAATAAACAAAGAAAAGCAAACTTGTGTTCTATATGATCAGCATTCCAAGTGTCTACTTCATTGTATCAAATAACAATCATACTTAGTTTTCACTGGTTTTGCTAGCAAGGATATTAGGATTGGCATTCAATCTTAAACACAAGCAAAGAAACATGGTGGTTAATTAATACAGTAGTGCTTGCTTTTCATATTGTGGAAATACTACCTTATTCATTTTCCTTCATTTTGTATTACAGGTTTGATGTAGAAGAAAAGAGAAGTTTAGTCAAACAAGTGGAACCAAGTTGTAAATCTTTTAAAGATGATTGCTATATCCATTGATATATTCAATCTCCAGAATTCTCAATGTGGGTAATGGCTATGCAATCCTTATTAGTCTTATTCCTGGTAGATGTACTCAGTCGTCTATATTATCCCTTGAACATCATATCCTTGGTTGTTTAATACTTTCTTGGTTGATAAATTTCTATAATATATCCTTTTGATTTTCACTATAAGAACGGGTTATCAAATTATTTAGTAGGGTGCGGTTTGTGTTGTTTGGTACTATGTTTTTTCTTTCGCGGGGTTTTGGTGGTGGGAGGGGGG